CAAACAAACAAACAAACAAACAAACAAACAAACAAACAAACAAACAATCTCCACATTTCTATAGTGCTCTTCCCTGACAGCATCTGTTCCCATTTTATGTTACCCAGTTCTTGCCTAACAGAATTATAATTACCCTTCCCCAATTATAAACCTTACCCTGCTGTCTGCACCTATCCTTTTCCATGACTATTGTAAAAGTAACAGAGTTATGATCGCTACCGCCAGAACGCTCTACTAACAGTACTAACACTTGGCCTGGCTCATCGCCAAGCAGGAAATCCAAAGTGGTCTCTCCTCGAGTTGGTCTATCTACATACTGTGTCAGGAATCCTTCCTGAACGCAGTGGACAAAATCCGCTCCAACTAAACCATTACAACTAAAAAGTTTCCAATCAATATTTGGAAAGTTGAAGTCACCCATGACTACAACCCTGCTACTTATGCACTTTTCCAATATCTGCTTCCCAATCTGCTCCTCCACTTCTCTGCAACTATTAGGGAGTCTGTAAAAAACCCGCAACAAAGTGACTGCTCCTTTCTTGTTCCTGACTTCAATCCAAACGGACTCTGTAGACAGAGATAGTAGGAACTGCAGATGCTGGAGAATCCGAGACAACAAGGTGCAGGGCTGGATGAACACAGCAGGCCCGACATATCATTCTCAAACTGCCTTTCAGTTTTTACAACTGTTCATTTGCATTGCGTCACTGCGGGTTCTTGTTAATGTCACTTTATGCCTGATTGTTTCTGTGTAACTCCATTGCTGAACTTGCAAGAGCTTGGTCTAGGGTATGGAGGAGTGCAGGTAGTCTTGGGAGGGGATTATGAGCTTCAGACAGATTGTTCCAAATAACAACATCCTGCCGAATGTTATGCTTTCTGAGAATGAACTAATGATGTTAAGCAAGGATTTCCAGTATCAAAACTGTTTGTTCACAGAGGATCTAAGGTGGAGTCCCTTAAAATTTGAATATTTTTATGATAGCTCTTAAACTAATACACATGTATAAATAAACCTTTGATTCTTTCAAGAGCAGGCAAAAACATCCAAGATAACAGTTCATTGCAACGGATCAGATGTAAAATGGATGCGATAAAATGGATACATTTGGACAAAGAAGTGGCGGTAACTCAATTATGTCATGCCTCGAAAGGACAAACAAATCTTCAATTTTAACAAGGCTGAAAACAAATCATTCCTTCTCTCTTTACACAAATCTGTTCTGAAAAGAGGGGATGATGCAGGAGGTTCCTCTGGTCCCCTTCTGTTGCTATTAAATGAACCTGGCTCGTTTTACCAATAAACAAAACATTTTTTTTTTTAAAAAAATTGTTGACTTGGCTTTGAAAGATAACCGCCTGCTTAAGTTTCTGGGAATTGTGCCCAAAACTACAAAGAAGCTCTCATATTCATAGCAAACAATTCCCAACTAGCTTGTGATAGTGAACAGTTTGCACTCTGTTTAGTATTACTAAAGAAGCACTAAAATCGTCATTCAGGTCTACTTGTATTACAAAGTACCTTGAGTGTTCAGCGTAATCACATCTAGTTGCTGCAAAAAACTTTGCACTTGTGAAATGCTCTCGTGAATTACTGGTATGTATTCAAATTCTTGAGACACATGAAGAATTCAAATGAACTTCATCCCATATCCTTGATAGAAAATTATAAGCAACTACAGCATCAATCATATTGTTCCAGCCATATAAATAATTAGTTCTCAGCTTTGGAAATATAAATAACTTTTGAAGAGTTATCTGCATTTTGTCTGAAATTGGTAGACCATATCAACAAATTAAATCTGGACAAATGAAGTTTCCTACATTTAATAAGAGTAACTGGCATTCAAGTTCTCCAAAACTGCGTCATGTATAGGGAGAACGGCAAAAACGAGAGACAGCGTGCTGAGCTATTAGACAAGAATGATAAGACAGTGAGCACCAACCATCTCATTTACAATTAAGGGACTAGTTAAAGATTACTATTGCACCAACGTACAGTTCCTTGGTATGCACATTTTTCCACTCTACCACAAACACACATAATGACATTTGGAGGCTTTGGAACAAATGATTCTTTAAGGATAACTAATATTTCAGCACTAGCTATGTCCAAAGATGGCAGTGCCAACATTGACAAGTCTTGAAACTAGCAATTTCATGCAAATAATTATCTGTTAATGGGCCCTATTAGACAAGATGCAAAGTGACAAATATCCCTTCAGAGGGCAAACCACTGCTCCATTTGTAGGACGCATGACAGCATGAGAATTTTAGCCAGCACCTGGCATCAAATACGTATAGTGGTGTTCCTGCATATACATATATTTCAACTACTTTGGTCTTTGACACAGCTAAGTTAATCAAGACCAAAGTTTTCACGTGGAGGGATAAATCAACTGAGGTGGCAGTATGCAGCTGAAATCGTTATCATTAATTTTGGAGCCAAGGTCAAGACATAGACGAGTATGTGAGCTAAGAGAACTACCTACTTAAGGATGTTGGGCAGGCCAGTCATCACGCAAGATATGTTTTTATCTAAGATGCCTTTATCTGTGAACAGAGGTAAACATACATCTCTTTAGCATTTTCACTTCCCAGTGAAAGCTGGACGAATAGATCTAATGGTGTCATGAAGGTATCTGAAGCCCACAATTTTGGATAATTTCCCGACATGTTAACAAATCACAGCAGCACCTGCTTTGAGCAGAACTTGAAAGAAGAAATGCCATATTAAGCCAATGGTGTCTTACCGCCTGCAACCAAATACTTTCAAAGTTCCTTGCATAATTATTCAGCATTATGCACGTAAAATAATTTTCGCAGTTTGGGTCAGTAGACAGCATGTTTTAATGTCATTTTTCCAAACACACTTGCAGTTATAATGCACTACAAGGCTGGCACTTGTAGTGCCAAAAGCGCAATCATCTGTTGACTAAAATCTGTTGTTCTTATATGCCTGTACTTAATGCTAATGTATGGGAACAGTGCAACAGAACGGGACAGAAGATGACATCTTTGCAAAGTATTAAGTTTTCGTATTCAGAATTGTAATCAAAATAAAAACCACAGAAAATAATGAGGTGCAAGTACAATACTCGTATAATTAGCTTAAATGATATGTCTTCAATTCTCACCCGTGTGTTCCCTGAACTCTACCATTGCTTTCATGGTTTTTGAGTCTGCAAGTGCCATAAGCCAAAAGAGCTTGGTTCTTCCACAACCTTCATGAAGATCAACTTTGATTGCTTCCTCCTCTTCTTTAAATACCTATAATTTTCAGAAAATTGAATACTAGATTATTTTAAGGATACTGCTGTGTGGAGTAATTTGCCATATTTGGAAAGATTTTCTATCCCATATTCCAAAGGTGTGCAGGTTAGGTGTCTTGGCCATGTTAAATTGCCCACTGTGTCCAGGATTAGCACCTTCTAAGGGTTTGTGTCTCAGCATGGTGGCTCAGTGGTTAGCACTGCTGCCTCACAGTGCCAGGGGCCTGGGTTTGATTACACCTTCGGGCAACTGTCTGTGTGGAGTTTGCACATTCTCCCTGTGTCTGTGTGGGTTCCCTCCGGGTGCTCCGGTTTCCTCCCACAGTCCAAAGATTTGCAGGCTAGGTGGATTGGCCATGCTAAATTGCCCATAGAGTTCAGGGATGTGTAGATAAGGTGGGATGCTCTCAGGGTTGGTGTGGACTTGTTGGGCCGAAGGGCCTGTTTCCACACTGTAGGGATTCTATGACCTATGAAAAAGTGCTTTTCAATTCCATTTTATATGCTAAAACCGATTGAATAAGGTAACAGGAGAAAAAAAAAGCAACTTGTATGCAGAACAGAACAGAACAGAACTGAAATCCATAACAAAGAAATATATGAATTATGCCATTCACGTCATTTAGTTTGCTTTTGTATAAATTATTAAAGTTTAAAATTGCAAAACTTTATAAACAGTGTGGCCAAGTGTAAATAACTTGACATACATTTCTGCTCATATTAAACTAACATTTTTGTTCATGCAAATGATATAAGGATATGTCTTTTTTTCAGATACAATTCATAATTTTTCTTTGGCTGCACTTCTTAAAAAAAAAAAAATCCTCTACAGACACCTGCATTTTTAAACAAAAAAGTGCCAGTCAGACCGGTTACTACAAATTGCACAATTTCAAATTTTGCCAAGTGGGATGAAAACAAATAATCCAATCAACAACTGCTGTAGATTGGAATTGATATATAATTTCTTTGGAACATACAAATATACACAGTACTTCAAGGAATAAAAAGCAGGTGCTGAAGAAAAAGGAAAGAGAGAGAGGGAGAGCGAGACTAAGAATTCTGTCTGAAGGCAGGCTGAGAGGCTGTGTGCGCCTCTTTTTCTCTTTCTAGATCTCTTTGAAACTGATGTGCTCAATTCTGCAATTGCAGGGGTAGGTGGGAACGTAAAGTAATCAGATAAACCATAATCCTATTGAACGGCAGAGCAGACTTGATGGGATGAGTAGTGTATTCCTGCTCCTAATTTGCACGCACATATATCGATGCCCAAGTTAAAACTGAATGCAAATAGGGATTTTTTAAAATGTAGAAATTCACATAGTACAGCTGCATCCAGGATAACAGCTGAAAAAATATAGCTATAATAGTAAACTCACTGCGTTGAGACTTGTCAACAAACAGCTAACTGTATAGTCCTTTGGATTAACTTGCACAGGCTGTAAAATCTTGTGTAATCATAACCTCTTACTCCACCAACAGCAGCAGTGTGAGAGTGCCCCAATAAATGTAAGAGACTGTATAATTTATGTCTTGTGACATTGTCATTCTGAGTTCAGGAAGCTTGTTTTTTGTTTAATCTATGGGAACATGTCCTAGTAAATTCTTAAAATTTAAACTGTTGGACAGTTAGAATTGGCAAAACACACCCTCTAATTTCCAAAGCAAAAATCTGTATAGTCAAAAGAAGAGTAGAAGAATAGGGAAATCATTTCACTCCTCCTCACCTGATAACAAATAAAATTAACAAATTAAAATTCCATCACAGCTCTTCCATTTTGATTCACAGGGTCAGTAATTTGTTCAAAACACCCTAAAAAAATTGATCAAAGATCTGTAGGATGTTTTGAACAAATTGCTGACCCTGTGAACCAAATGGATTACTTTATCAAATAGCATTTCTGCAATGGTATTTTTTTAAAATGACAACACAGAGGGCAACTACATAACAATACAACATTTACAGAAGCATGCTTCCCTGAAAATATTTCAATGTTGCATTTAAAACTTGTTAACAGCTAATTAACACTCTCTACTTTTCCCCACTCAGTTCTGCACCATTCTTTGTCCAATTGTGCAGTCTCCTACAACCGCTTGTTTGAAGCAGTTTAGAGATCAATAGTAGAGTCCATGTCATTAGATTTTCAATGAGAGCAAAATATAACATCAAAATTATTCAAAAGACTTATAATTAAATCCTTGCCTGTCTTTGATGTGTTCTTGTCCTTCTGTGAAGGTGGAGAAAACGGTCACAGTCTGTGCAAAGGTTCCCACACACATTGCAGTGAATAATTGCTGGAGTCTCACCATCATCATGGTTGTCACACATGGGCTAAGTGAAAAAAAAATTTTTTCTTAATTAATGCTAAGTTAATAACAGAACCCGCTTGCTAATTCAATGAAATCACAGCGAGATACAACAGAATGGAATGTTTCTCTGCACCAGGCAGGATTTATGAGTTGATCTTTGCAGAAAGGTAGTGTAGGTTCTACAACAGGGTTTCCAAAACACAGGTCACAACTCAGACAAATTCTGTGGTCATGGTATCTGAGGTAGCCATGGAGCTCTGAGCAAGTGTTAACAGCTGTCAGGCTTGTTTAAATCTTAGCAAATTTTAAGCATGGCCTAATGGATTGATCTTTCAGACCTGATTCATGCTCCAAAAAGCCAGTGAATAGGTAGTTTTTAAAAAATTCCTGAAGATTAAACACTTTGCCTCCCCTCTCTCACACTGTCTCAGAGGCACCGTCCTACATCCCAACAACAAACACACGCTATCCTGGTCACACTAAGGTCACGTGCTTTTGAACTGGAGTCCCAGTGGGAAGAAGTTTGGAAGACAATATTCTGCAATACTAAGATTGTACTGAGAGCAAGGTTTTGTAAAATTTTGAACTCAAAAATTAATTTTCCACAAAAAATAAATTGAGTTATAGAAACCCAGCTATGGCCAAACTAGGGAAGAATGATGTGTTTTGTCAGATGTCTAAAACATTTATCCAATTTTTTTTTGCTCATAGAGATGGGACAATAATATTTTAAACTAGAAGAATTTATTATTCTAGAACATATTTCTTTAAGCAAATTGCGCATGTACAAATATAGATTAATGGTTATAATCAATACTTATAAAGAGTCACACATGAATGAGACACTGGAAAATAATGTGAAATCAAATTGCATACTAGGAGCTCTATTTATTCACACAGCTTTGTTCTTTGCAGACAAAATTACTATGTACAGATACTGCATCTTTTTCAATAGGGAAAGGCAATGGAAACAGCCAACCGTGCTGCATCTCTGTGGCAATGCCCTGACCAGAACTGTAAGCCTGATTTTAATGTAATCAGTTAATTAAGACAGTTAACAGTTCCTGCTGCATTATCCACATGCTGACCATAGGCCAACAAATCACACCTTCTCGTACTGTAAAAATTGTTGTTCCCTTTCTGAATTTGGTTTTCTTGCTTTTTCAGTCCAGATGAGTACAAGGTGAAAAGTTGACTGCATATCTCTTTTCTCAGCAATGTTTTGTTTAAATTCTGTATGACCAAGCAATTTTTAAAAAAATTCTTTCATAATTTAGTGAATATTTTCAAGCTATTTAATAGTCCTTGGGTCATGGAAACATGCCCTCATTGATTTGCAGAAATAAACTTCTACGTATTACATTTGAACTGGAAGTCTCTTTCACCCTTGAACATAATTCTCAGGGAAATATTTCTTATATCAGCTGGAGAAATGAATATATTTTTGAAATTACCCATATTTGAGAAGCAGTCACTAGTAAAAAAAAAATACTGGCAAAAGACAGTGGCTTTCCTTTGACCGAGGGAGAGATAATTAAAGATGAACCCAACCTCTTCTGATCTATACTAATTCGATATGGCTATGTACAATAATTAACTGGATTCCTAACAGCTTCTCTGCTTTGCTGGATACATATGCCATCGAGACTATGGGGACTCTCAAGTCTTTAACTTAGGTACAGTGACGCCAAACATGTCTTGCTTATTTTTGTATCTTCAATAATGTATACTTACTGGTATTAAACCCTACATGCACAGACCTACCTGTACAAATATTTCTATGGCCCACCTTAGCTGGAATGTAAGTGGTTTACTTCAATCCTAATTCTCCTCTCAGTTTATACATTTGCATTGAGTTTACATCCAGATTAGTTATGCAAACAGTGGTCCTAACATATCAATCTCTTTCCTTACCATTTGTTTTTGCTGGCCATCCTTTCCCATCCATCTACCAGAGGAAAGCCTATCAACATGGTCTTGATCCAGCACACACAGTGAAGCCAGAGCTAGCCACAACTGTGGAGAAAACAAAAGTTAAGCAGAATTAGAATCTAACATCCAAATACATTCACTTTCCATAAACCATTTTGTAATTCTGTTTCAGATATACTTCACATATAAAAGGAACTAATTAATTACCCTTGTTGTTGTGGTACATTGAATAGGCACTCTGTATTCTTCTTCCATTTTTGTTAGGGCAATAATTGTTTCAGCAATTGCATTTTTTGTGACACGTGACCAGGCTTCTGATAGATGTCCCTGGAAAAATGTTTTTTGAAAGTTAAATCATGACATGCAAACACAAGATAACTCTCAGAAACTAGATTCAATTATCTTCTTACTGGATGCAAATGTTCTTCATACCATAACATATTAGTGTTCAGAATATTTGACTTCAGCAGCAAGCAATTTCGTTAGATTATTTCTTAATAAGGCCAGCTAAACAAACAAATGCTGGAAATACTTAGCAACTTGTTTGTTCATTTTCGTCAAATGTGGTACTAATAAGCAAGTAACTTGAAGCAAAATGTTAACCCTCTTAAAACTGAACAAATCAGAATAAAATCATTATAAATCTTTCAAATTCTGAGACATTGTGAATTAAAGAAAAAGATAAGTCTTAAAAAGTTACTGCAAATATAAATAAATACTAACTAGTACAAAATCCAAGTGAAATTAGATTCACTTTAATCATTTAAGCTTGCATTATTTAACACATAATACTGTTGTATAATTGATAATATTGAGCAGTTTTTAATAAAGGAGCAATGCCAGTTGATTACAACTTACAGCTGCCATGTCCTTTATTAGTTTAATTATTATTTCTGAAATTTGTGGGGGTGTGGAGCCTTTCATCCACCAGTGGCTTTCACCTCGTCGAATGGAGCTGTAGAAAGACCAATACAACATTACGAAAATTGTCTGGTCTTATTTGCAAACCATTTTGAAAACATTTTATAATTAGTATATAAATTAACTAACAAATTTTTTTGTAATGAGTAGACTGATAATATTGCAGCCTTGTCAAATACTCAACTGAATGAAAAATACATGAATTGTAGGTATAACATTACTTTCAATTAAACTCTCTTCCAAAGCATCATATACATATTTACACAGCACTGGATTGAAATGGAAAAAATAACACTGTGGAATATTTCAAGGACATTTTACATTGTAGGGTGTCCTAAATAACTAAACTGGCTAAATTTTAGTCTTTGTCACAACCCTAATCAGCTGCACAAGATAAAACACAAGATCCAAACTATCCTACATGAAACACAAATTAAAGACAACCCTAAACTATATTGGCCTGCTAATAATACTACTTAATTAGCAGATGGAATTGAGGACAGAGAGATAAACTGGAAGGCTGATCACCAAGAAATAGGAACATGGAGTGTATTTTGATTCATCAGAAAAAGAATGCAAAGGACAACTCTAGCATCCCAAATGCTAGCTTGGGAATGAAAAGCTGTATGAAATCAAGGATTTTTTGGCTTTGATAACTTAGTTACAAATATCTTTATGCTGTATTCAATTACATGAATACCATATGGTACCTTGACTGCTTCTTCTGAGACCAGGACCTCTAACACAGATTAACGGGCAGCTGGCAAATGGGAGAACTACTGCTGCAAAGTTTCTCTCCAAATCACAAATTATTCTAATTTCAATAAATATCACTGTTCCCAATTTTGCAGGTCAAGGCCCTGGAACACACACTCATTCTAACAGCACTTAAACCACATTGACACCAGCAGTTGAAGATGGTAAGCACACCGCGATCAACTTCAAAAGGTACTAACGGTTGGGAAATAACTGCAGGTCTTGTCAGCAATGTACAGTGTGTCTGAATAATAAAAGGATTTTCTAAAATCAGAACCTCTTCACTGTCTTACAAGAATTTCCAGTTTACCAGAGGTAAGCAACTGTGCTGCAACACAATGTACAATCCATGGCATAACTAGTACAACACAGCTAACAATTAGTGTTAACTAGAATACTGATTCCATTTTTAATTGAATGAAGAACAAAGTACAACTTAGAAAAGTCATTCTTACCCAGAGTTGAAGACTGACGGTAACGTAACTGTGGTTACACCCTTCCCAGCAACTGTGCCAGGAAAATTACACCCTTTGGCTTTTAGCTGCACAGTGAGCGCTTTGGAAATGCATCCCAAAAACATGTCCAAAATTCCTAACTTATTCCAGTCCCCTTTCTCTGTGGAATGAATGATATCGCTGATGTCTGCTGGTGGAAGAGATTTCACACCTATTATACTGGCAAGACGCACTGGCGTCACTTCTGGTAGCACACGGCGCAGTAAAGATGTCACCTGCAAATGAAATTCCAGATGGCTGTTACATCTATTGCCTCAATAGCTCACAGAGTCAAAAATCATATTTCCAACTTTAAGCATTGTTAGTACTTTACAAATGATTTTCTGCTTTACTGAAGTTTAAAATTGATTGAAATAAAATCAACACTGACCTGTCTTTGTACCCTGGGTGAAGCAGTATGCAGCAAAGAGAACAGGTCTTGCAATAACGTGAGCTGTTGGGCCAAATATTGTCTTCCAACATTGGAACCACTTAGAGCAAGCACCATAGACAGCAGTTCAAAACAGTACGCATCCGAAGAAGCATCCTCATCATTCGGTTGAGAATTTGCATTTTCCTTGCTGGATATGGCGTGTTCCCATTCTTCTCGTACACGTGTGGCTTCCATGCGTATGGCTTGAACTATATGTGCACATACCTGTTTGGAGAGATAATCAGCAGCTGCAAAAATTGGATCAATTACAAACTTGGAAGGAGAATTGATCAGTTGGGGAGTGGACTAAAAAGTAGCAGACTGAATTTCAGAGAAGTGTGAAGTATGCACTTTTGGTAGGAAAATAGGACAGAATACTTTTTAAAATGGTAACTGTTTGGGAAATACCAGTATTCACACTGTCTTTAATGCCCTTGCAAATGAATCCCAAGAAGTTAACACGCAATACATCAAGTACTTAGGAAGGTAAATGGCTTGATTTAACTCAATCCCTTTTTAATAAAAGGCAGAAATAAGTCTTCCTTCACTTAGAGTCTTAGTGAGAAAATACCCAGAGTACATGGTACAATTTTGGTTTGCTCACTTGAGGGAAGATGTACTTTCCTTAAAGGGAAGTCAGCGAAGGCTGACTAGATGGATGCCTAGGATTAACAGACTGTCCTGTGAGGAGAAATTGAGTCAACTCCACCAATATTTCCTAAAGTTTATAAAGGATGAGATTAGATCTAGTTGGAATATAAATCCACACGGGACTTTACAGGATTGATTCTGGGAGATGTTTCATGTCCACAATCTTACAAGTGGGAGGTTGAGCATTTAGGATTGAGATGAAGAGACAGTTCTTTACTCAAACTGTTGGAATTCTCTATATCTTAACTATGGATATTTATCGGTTGAGCATTTTTAAGGTTGAGTTTCTTGGATATGAGGATATTACTGGAATGACTAGAGCTTTCCGTATTAATTTCTCAATAGAATAAAGTTTACTCCAGTCAAGAACTCACTTTTATTCCTTGGCTTGACTTGAACACAGAATTAAAACCTGATCCATTATGTAAAAGAGAATATCTTGGATCCAAATAAAAATTGCAAATTATCATTTTTCAAGTAGAATTGGACAGTAAGGTTATATAGATCTTAGAAAATGTTCTCTGGGGTTTCGTTGAAGCCACTGCCACCTTAGCTAATTTATGTTTGACATTACTTTGTATTCATATTTTAACTAAGCCCATAGCGCACACACTTTACTCAATACAAGGCTATTCCTTTTTCCTAGCTCCAGAAAATCAGTTCCTCTGAAGAACAACTGAATCTCCTATATTGATGTCAGTATTAAAAGAAAAGCTTCAATTCCTAGTGCAGGGAGAGTGTCTCAATGCCTGCCAATACCCAAATGCTAACCACCTCAATGAGATGAAAATATTTTCGTACTGATTACACAAAATAAACACACAGACAACAGCATTCTGAAAACTGAACCATTTGTTCTTGTACCTGAAGTGCAGCCAGCTCAAACATGAGACACAAATTTCTAATGGTTAAATGATGAATAATTACTGCAATACACAGACAGGTTTAGCAGACAATTTTCTCTGGATATTCAATTATAGCACAGCACTGGGCAGCTACTAAGCAATGGGCTCTCATGGAGGAACAACAGCTTGAAGTAGATTGCAATTAAATCACTGAATAATGAAACAGAGTCCTGCATGAGAAATACAAAGATCATTCACATCAAACCTGTTTCTGAAGATTGGTTAGCTTGCTTCTGCTAAATATGATTCCAACCATGTGTTCCTTCAAATCAGCATCAGATGCCTTCATCAAAACAAGATGAAATATGATTATAGGCAAGAAAGTCTGTTACTGAAAATAAATATCTATTTTGTGGATATAGCATATATTGGTAGATATAGGATATACTTGTACCTTTTCTTCACCCTCTGGTGAAGACAAAATAGTTTTGTCTTCTTGTTCAGGTGTGGGTTCGGCATCACCACAAATCAATTTGCCAAACACCTGCAAAAGTTTTATAAAGTTAGCAACATATCAAAAAGCTTAATTTATTCAATTAGTTTTATCAAATGAAGAAACACTGAAAATTAAAAAAAAAGTTGTCTAATTATGGAAGGAATCTTAAAACCACACACAATATACCTTCATTTGACTAGTGCTTGGGATGGTAAACTATAGTTATGGAGCCAGACCAGATACAGGAATAGAAAAGGATAAGATTTAAAAATGGATTTAAAATGCTGGAGGGGAAAGGAAGGCAAAACAATTTATGGTGTTTGCAGAATCAATGTCTTAAATTGATGTACCTTGGCAGTTACTGATGTTGAAAGAGGTAATGAGAAAGCTCTTCTGGGACTTATTAGGAATATGGAATGGTTTGCCAGTGGAACTAGATGAAGCACTGTGCTGACAGCATCACTATTTTTCTTTTACTTTTCATATTTTGGTTTAGAACATGGAGTTAAAGTTGAGAATTGAACTTTGAATCATTCTTTTATACATAAAGAATAAAAGACTGATATTTGCTGTTGGAAGCTGGCCTGGAAAGTTACCGCTGGTTAATTCTGCTCTAAGAACACTACATATAATTCGGCATTATGTTGTTACGCTCAGGGACTGGTAGCTGGTTAGACATTGAGCCGGTCAATCAAATGAGAACAAGTACTTGTTAGCCAACCACAGAAAATGTTGAAAAAGAAACAAAAGACAAAAAGTGAACTGGATCTAACGAGGTTGGAAGTTTTTGCTTTGGCAGCTGCCATTCTGCACTGAATTTTTAGTATTGCTTGCTCTAGTTATTCTCAGTTATCAACTTGTTGAAAGATCTGAGAAAAGAATCTCTGCCTGTAAGAAGTGACTAAAAAGTTTCCAGAGGTCTGTGAAAGCTGTCCGCATTAACTGATGACTTTGAAATTTAAGATATATAGCTCCTTGTGCCTGTATTACAACCTATTGCCAAAGGATTTCATGAAGGCTTGCTTACCGCAACTGTTTTTGAACTAGCAAATTATAATTCTTTTATTTCTATTATAAATTTAAGCCTTTACGCTGTCTATTGGTCAGTTTGAGTGTGAGGGCTTATATTCAAATATTGGGTTTGTTGGTAGATATTAACTATATTGCATTGCTGTTCATCTGCGTTCTGAAGTTCCATGCTTAACAATAAATTGTTAATTTTTGTATAAGTTGTGAACTTGGTGTCTAATATCTGTTACTTGCAAAATTTGGTTTGGAACAATTGAGCAGTCTTTGAGTCTTGGAATGCTTTGAGCTCACTGCTTTGCAAATGCAGTGATAGTGAGGCTGATTTCGTATAGTTTGCTATCTCTGTCATAACAAATGGCACCGCTTCCTTTAATGGAAGAGCAAGAAAATATTTGAAACAGAGGACAGAGTACATGAGAAGACAGGGCAATGGAATTAGTTTTAGATTACCCTGGCAAAGACCAGCACAGATACGATAAACTGAATGAACTTCTGTGCTATAACCGTAAATGGTTCCTTCTTAACCACTAACTGCCTCACATTAAAAAATCAGTCAACACACTCTTCAATAAAAATAAGCTAAAAGTCTTGTCCTCATAAACTTCCACTCATTTCCAATATCCTGAAATGTGTTATTGGCTCTTAAATTCTCAGCCAACTTTCTGCAGCTCACTGTAAACACCTCTCCAATAAGTATTTTACTCCAACTCAGAACTGAAACAAAATCACACACGGCATCTTCTGATTATGGTCAATTTACCTCTGTGACCTCTCTGTTGACTTTGACAGCTGATGGAATACCGCCCTCTGATGCACCATTGTAATCTAGCTCATGGCTTGGTTTCAATTTTTTTCCTAATTATAACTGTGGCATCTTCAGTAATGACCCCTTCTGCATCCTTTACCTTTAGTGTCCTTCAAGGAGCTATTCTTGGCACCACATGTTGCATTTTTGGAACTTCTCAACAGATGTAAAGTTTATTTCAACAAGTAAAAGCTACCCAATTATATGACTCCATCACTCAGGAACCTTTCCACTATGCTATGAGACTTCAATATCCAATATCTTGGAGTTAGATGGGTCTTTAACATAAGCATCTTAAACCACACAACAAAAGTATGATTTGACAAAATATTACCAAGCCAAAAGGAGGAGACATTAGGTCAGGTGATAAATGCTTGGTCAACAAGACAGGTTTCAACAATGCCTAGAAAGGTGGAGGCTTAAAAAGATTTAGGGAGGCAATGCCAGGGACGGCTAAAATTAAGGAAGTCAGTGGTGAATTGGAGGATGCAATTGGGAGAGACTGTAGAGATCTCAGGACAATTGGGAAAGTTACAGAAATTGACAAGGCAAGGGATGAGGGGGCATGGGATGAAGAAACTGTGTGCGTGATCAAATCATGGAGAATTTAAACATGCAAATAAGCAACTTTAAAACTGAAATACTGGTGTACTGCGAGCTTCTGGAAGTCAGCAAACTTGGGGTGAATGGTGAAAAGGACATGGTGCAAGTTGGAAGCAATAAGGGCACACATTCACAAGATAACATCTGAGTGACAGATAAAAATGAGGAACAAGAACACAAACAGAAATTGCTGGAAAAACTGAGCAGGTCTGGCAGCATCTGTGGAGAGAAAGCAGGGGAGAGGAGTAACTGATTAGGTGGAGATTCAGATTATCCAGAGAGAGAGAAAAGAAGTTGGGCAAACAAAGGAATAGGTAACGGTCAGTTTGGGAGAATGAATAGCTGCTCATGGTAGCAGCCCAAGTGCTGGCAAGGCTTGGTGTGTGGGGTTTGGGGTAAGGACATGGGAGAAGGTATTCAAGCCCTACAACTGATGAACTTGATATTGAGTTGAGAAGACTACAGGGTTCCCAAACGGAAAATGAGGTGTTGTTCTTCCAGCTTGAGTTAAGATTCACTGAAGCACTGCAGCAAGCCTGATAGAGATATTGGCCAGGGAACATGGTAGCGTGCTGAAATTGCAGGCAACTGGAAGCTCAGGGTCATTTTTGTAGACAGAAGGTAGGTGTTTTGCAAAGCAGTTGCCCAGTCTGTACTTTGTCAACCCAGTGTAGAGGAGACCCCATTATGTGCAGAGAATACAGGAGACTAGATTGAGTGAAGTGCAGGTTAATTGCTGCTTCAAATGGAAGGTGTGTGTGGGGTCTTGATTAGTGAGGAGGGAGGGAGTAAACAAGCAAGTGTTACACCTTCTGTGCTAACACGGAAAGGTTCTGTTGGGGTGTGGGGAGACGTTGGGAATTGATCAGGGTGTCTAGGAGGGAAGGGCCTTGCAGAAGGCTGACAAGGGAGGGATGGGAAAAGGTGTCTGGTGGTGGCAGTTCTTTGGTATTTTGGTTTAAAACAAGGAATAGATTAGGTTCACATGGTAAATTATGGAAAGTCTGTTTTTAAAGTTTAAATATAGATGAAGAGTCAGACACTGACAGAAGTAGCAACTTTTAAGTAAATTAAATTGCCTGGCAGTGGCAATTATCTATCAATTAGCAGAAAGTTTTTGGTTCAATTGGTGCTAATTACTGCAACAGGAAACTAATGACTCTTCAGAGAATTTATGAGACACAGATTTTTCAAATTGTAAACTCAGTAAGGAGTGCGCAATTAGGAGACTTCACCTGAGTGAGACAGTGAATAGTCAATTAGGTCCCATGTGGAAATTCACTGTACAGGGAAAGAGGTGCTTTAAGCGAAGCTTATTACCACTAGTAAACTGCATTAGATATTAGTTGAATTTATCAATACTAGCAAAGTTTATGAATTTGTAAAATATATTAAGGCCAAGTAAAATGAAGTTAAGACATGTCAGCTTGGTTGTATGGAATGTGTGTCCTGCTTTAAGTCAGAAGTCATGGATATTACCAGTAACCCAAATGACCATATATGTACAACCTTTCACACCTGCAAAAGTCCTGAGCCTGAAGGATTAGGACTGCTTGTGGGAGCTGTACAAGGTGGACAGCTCAGCACGATCGAGACTAACATCTATGCAGGGAGATTTCTAAGTGCTGCTGGGAAGGGTTTAAACTAGATTGGTAGACAGATGGGAACCCAAAGAGGAGTTCAGACTTGAGGAAAGCAAAAACTGGTTAAAAGTAGAAAGCAATAACAGAAGACAGATGAAGCATAAACTCACAAGAAATAGGATAAGAATTCAGAATACGGCTAAAGAAAGCTGAACTAAAGACACTATCTGAATGTGCTTGCTTGATGATTTGAATGTACCAACTGAAGTCAACGTATATGATTAATTGTCATTGTGGAGACAAGCTACAAGGTGACTGGATTAGGAAAAATGAAAAATGGGGTAGCGCTTTGAATAAGGGACAAGATCAGTACATTACTAAGAGATGATCTAAACTTAAAGGATTAAGATGGGGAATCCGTTTAGGTGGAACTGAGAAACAGCAATGGGCAAACATTGGAGTTGTTTACTGCAGTAGTTTCCTGTAATGTTGGGCATGGTATAAAGCAGAAAACTGGAGATGCATGTCATGTTGGTAAGACAGTAATAACGGGCCATTTTAATTTACACATAGTCTGGGCTAACCAAATCAGTACTAAAAAGGTGTGGAAGATTAATTCCTGGCGAACATACAAGATGGCTTTCTGGACCAACACTTTGCGGAGCCAACTAGGGATAAGGGTGTTTTGGGTTCTGTATTGTGTACCAAGAAAAGGTTAATTAATAATCTTGCTGCGAAGGAGCCCTTAGAAAATAATGACTGTAATACGGATAGAATTTAGCTTTAAAGCTGAATGTGATATAGCCCATTCTGAAACTAGGGTTTTAAAACTTAACAGAAATTAAGGAGGAATGGGGGACGAGTCAGTTTTGGTGGCTTGGGGAAATACATTGGAAGGTTTGATGGTAGACAGGCATTGGGTACGATTTAAACAATTACTACAGTGTCTACAACAGATATACATTCCTCTAAGGCACAAACACCCCAAAGAAAGGTAAATAAAAGTGAACAAAATAAATCATATAATACATCAAAGAAACAGCTTAGAAGGTTGCCAGAAGAGGACTGGGACCAATTTAGAAGCCAGCAAAGAAGGACCAAGAAGCTGATTGAGAAACTGAGAAGAGAATATGAATGCAAACTATTCAAGAAACAAAGCTTCTTCAGGCCTGTGAACAGAGAAAAAGAACAGGACAAATGTGAGCCTATTACAGGTGGAGATAGAACTCAATGAAGAACAGGGAAATAGAGGAAGAATTGAATTACTTTGTGTCTACCTTCACAGATGTTGACATAGAAAATCTCCCAGAAATACTAGGTGACCAAGGACAATAGAACTGGGAAACTAGAGGAAATGAATGATTAAAATGATAGCACTTGAAGTTGATAAATCATCTGGACCAGATAAAATTGATCCTAGAGTGCTGGAGGTGGTGGCTACAGAGATAGCAGATACATCGGGACTTATCTTTCAAAATACAATGGATTCTGGAAAGGTTTGTGCATAATGTAAAGTAGTAATTATAACCCCACAATTGTAAGAAGGGATAAAGGGGGAGAACTATAGACCATTCAATTTGACGACAATAATGAAGGAAATGTTAGAATGTGTGATAAAGAATATGATGGCTGGCCATTTAAAAAATGATAACATTAGGCAGAATCAACATGGATTTACCAACAGAAATAATGTTTGACATAATACTCGTAGCACTGATAAATGAAAACCAGTGGATGTGGTGCTTTAGCTTTTCAGAAGTCTTTTAATAATGTGTCACACATTGGAGGTTAGTGAATAAAATGACAGCACATGGGACTGGGAGAAATATATCAGTACAGACTGAGAATTGGTGAATAAACAGAAAACAGAGGAATAAATGGATCAGAGATAGTAGGAACTGCAGATGCTGGAGAATCTGAGATAACAAGGTGTAGAGCTGGATGAACACAGCAGGCCAAGCAGCATCAGAGGAGCAGGAAGGCTGACGTTTCGGGCCTAGACCCTTTTTCTGAAGAAGGGTCTAGGCC